GACATGAGGCTTGTCTAAAGGCTGGTCTAGCACCAGCGTAAAACCTTTCGAGTACGTTGTCCAGCTCCGAATTCGGAAGTTTGTTTACGCTATCGAGGTCTGTGTTGATAACTTGCAGGTAGTCTTCGAATATTTTTACGGACAATTTCACGAAATTGTTGGTGTTCTTGCTGTCCGCAGAATTAATCAAGTCTTGTAATTGATCATCATCAAAAAGTTCAAATCTAAGAAGAGTCGCTTCAGCCATTTTTACCTTCTTTGGACTTCATTTCAATCTTTATTCCAATTCATAAAAATACAACAACATCAAATATAAAACACAATAGCATTATATACAACATTTAGTAAAAATGGTACAAAAAATAAATACATAAGTTTCATAATAATATTGTAAAAATGAATGGAAAAGGAGGCGTACGTAAAAAGCCAAGGGTAGGCTTGTAAGAGTGTACGACCCTACAATTTAAATAATGTATGAATATATATTGCAAAAAAATAACAAGTACCAACAATACTGTATCATCATATACCAAAACACAAAATAAAAAATCAACAAAAACAACAACAACAAAAAAATCAATAATTTCCAATCAAATATTTTTTATATTGCCTTTTAAATGAGTTATTAAATTGAATATTAAAGTTACTTAAAGTTACTTTTAAAGGACTTAAAATAAAATTTAGAAACTAAAAACATCGAAGATAATATGTAGGCCTGCAATCAAGATCGGCGGTCGTCTGCGCTGTGTGCAACTAAAAAAACCTAAAATGTAGCGACTAAATGAATCGCAGAAAAAAGCACTGTATGGTAGCCGCGCTCGCACAAACTAAGTTTTAACACGTAATCCAATGGGGATCGCAGCAAAATTTTACTATTTTCCCGGTACCCGGAATCTTGCGAGAATCTCACTCATGGACTATTGACCGGTACTGACATTGTTCGTTTCTTTACGGGAATGGCCAAAATCACGACTCCAATTTCGACCAATCAGATGGCTAGCTTTCTAGAGAGAGATATATAATACAGTATAATATTTCAGAAATTATTATCAGAATTACTATTTTCCAGAATGTAACGTTTTTTAGTTAGCAGTACAAATTTAAAAAATCTCTTTATCCTTGATGGAAGTGGGGCCTCGCCCCGGCGTTAAAAATAAATTATACATTATTTCGAATTCAGTTTCCATGTCTTTCCATTTTAGGTGCCCCTAGTATTGGTTTTTTTCTACATGTCTTGCCAAATCTTCATAGCAGTTCTTGCATTCTACTTGGACCCCTTGAATAAAGCAATCGGCATCGCTGCCGTCCTGACGGGTCTACCCGTTTACTTCGCCTTCTATCACCCGAGGTACAAACTCAAACAAGAGTGGGTCAAGTCTACCTCAGGTGAATACCATTTCTTCTTTGTTAGAGTGAATAGGGGTCGGTCGTAGTGGCGCAACCTGGGGGCGTTTCACAAAACTTGTCATCCGTGACAAATGACAGTTTTTGTTATAAGCTACTGAAATCCTTGCTTCTGATTGGTTATCAGCAGATTTGTCACTGATTTGTGTCATTTGTCATTAAAAAAAGACTTTGTGAAACGCCCCTGGTGCAATCATTGAGGGAACACTTTCGTCAGGTGATGACAAGGTAAATGAAGAAAAGAAACCCCAAACGAAAAATGCCCTTTTCCATTAATTTGGGAGAAAATTTAAGAAATAGCGATGTCTAAAATTCGTAACTAGCGCAAACTCTCAGTAATTTTTAATTTGGAAAATTCTTCTATAAAAAGACAAATAGACATATGCGTTCATCTGCATGCTATTGTTATGCTTCACTTAAATTATAGTCATCATCAATGATTCGACAGCAATTAAAAATCACAAATAAGCTATGAATGGTGACTGTCTGAAATGAAAATCATTCAAATGCTGCATCATAAACGTATATTGTCATGTTGTTATTTTACTCGATATAGTGTCTGTTCGCTGACTTTATTGCATAATGTTTCTAATATCTATTTTCTTTTACAGTGAAGCTGACAAGATTTTTCCAGAAGCTGTTCAACTGCGTTCATCAAGAAAAAAAGACTTTTTGAATTTCACTGAAATTCATCCCACTATTGCTCTGTATCTGAAATAAATGTATAACTTTGCCTCAGTCTCGAGAGTATGACTTTGTTGTAATGATTACAATTTTCTTTAAATACATCCGCGTATTTCACATTAATACTACAATGAGAAATTAAATTGTGTTTTTTAAACAATGAAGATTGTTCAAGGTAACATTCTTTATGGTAAAATGTAAGTCACTGTTTACTTTTATGTATTTACATTGACAGTTTTGTTTCATAATAACCTGCAAATATTATAAGATTTCTGTTAGCATTATACTTCTAATGCTTCTAGATAATATTGTCAGAATTTAATGACCCTGAATTATCGCAATTCTATATTGATATTCCAGCTCAGAAGAGCTAGGATCATGGAATAGATCTGCTATGAACATATTCATAGTTTAATGATAATATTAATAACGATTAACCAGGTACGAGAAGGTAAATATTTGATTTGAATCACTTTTTAGCAAAGCAATAATGATATATATGTCACATTGGCATTAATAGTCTAGTATATTATAAAGATGGTGATCATTTATTCGTTTCTTTCTTTGTTTAAATAAATATATTATATTCTTCATACCTTTATTTCTGAGTGTTAAGCTTTGTCATGGTCGAACGGGTGGGAAGGGAAACTCACTAGAGTATTTCCGTCGGAAAGCGGTGGTGGTATTCCCTAATTAAATGGGAACAAATCATAAAAGGTGAAAAGTAAACACTTTAATCCTACCCCCCCCCCCCCCGTAAAGAATTCAAATTCAAATTCAAACCTTATTGATTTCCATCCAAACATTCTCCAAAAATGTATACATTGGATAACTAATTAAAGAAGAGAGAGAGAGGGACAGAAAAAAAGAGAGAGATAGAGAGAGAGAGAAAGAGTGTGTGTGTGTCTGTATGTGTGTGTGTGTACGTGTGCTTGTGAAATAGAGTGAGAGAGGGGTGGAGAGGAGTACGGAGAAATCATGGAGAAAAAGTTGCACAAAGAGAGGAAGAGAGGAGAGGAGGACTATAAAATAAAAGAGGGGTTGGGGAGAAATCAATTAGGAAAAGGTACACAATTTGTTATACACATTAACAAAAAATCCTCTGTACGGTCAGGCATTATGGCTCATGGCATGGGCACACAGAAGATGTTTTTTCTGTTGGGGACCGGGGGGGGGGGGAATTCAATGAATTATTGATAATTTATTAACTGCCCCCTACCCTAGCCCCCGCTACGCACATTCATGGTTCAGTGGCAAAGCAATGGCCTCGTAACTGTGAGGCCCCAGGATCAAAACCGTGTCGATGTGCTATATTAGTGCCCTTTTGTGGGGCATTAATCCACATTACTGTCATTTATGTGCGTAGGTCCCCTAGTTGATAAGCATAGTAGCGTACATATGCTTTAGCAGTCACGAAAAACAAACACTGGCAAATTATTATTCAATACAATCTGAAAATGAATACTATTATCTATATCTATTAGGAATAAATCATTGTCAAAATAATTCCATAACTTGGGGTAAAAAAAAATATTCCAACTATATGAGCGACAGTGTACTACTAATAATCATCATCATTATCATTATATCAATAACAATAATAACGATAATAATAATAATAATAATGATGATAACAATAATGATAATAGTAATGATACTTATAATAACATTAATACTAATATTTTCAGCGGGAAACACGTGCTCCTCCTCGTTGCCCCCTCCCCCCACAATCGCATTTCAAAATTCTAGCGTTCATTTCATACATTCATTTAACAAGAAACGAATTTAACAATATACACACTGACCAGGAAGGAAACAGTAAACATCCTGGTAGAAATGGCAGAGGTTAAATTCTTCAAATGTCATATTCCGTGAACTGGCTTGTATGTGCAGATAGCAGATGATGCACGTCAGTGATTTTAGTCGGGTCTGCTTTCATTTTACACGTTTACCAATTCCACGTATCTCAAGTGGTGTGTAATTTCCTCGGTCTCCAGAAAGTAGAGGTACGTTACAATTCAAGATATTTTTCAACAAAAGAAGGAAAAACCGCGATATTGTTTCTTTGGTTAATGGTATGCAGGATCGGATCCAGCATCTCGTAAAAGAGGGGAAGATTTTCTGACGAGCAAAAAAAAAATTTAAATAATAATAATAATAATAATAATAATGGATTCTTATATAGCGCACGTATAGACCTTGCAAGGTCCTCAAGGCGCTCCAACATTACCCGGCTATGCTAGGCTGCCGAATTCCTTCCTACCGGTACCCATTTAACACCTGGGTGGAGAGTGGGAAGTGTAGATAAATTTCTTGCCAAAGGACATTAGTGCCGCGGCGGGACTCGAACCACGGACCCTGTAATTCACAGTCCGACGACTTACCCACTTCGCCACAACACATCTACAAAGGCAAAGGGGGTTTGGGCACATTCTTAGTCTTTCGTATTAAATATCTACCACTTAGGTTTCAAAAGGGGGTACGGGCCAGTTGTGCCCCCATCCCCCTTAAACCCGCCTGTGATGCCATGTGTCCTCGATTCGTGACCATGGACTTCTATTAATATAATCCTCTTTCTTATTATCCATTCCGAAGGTTACGAAAGATCACTTCATGTGCAAACTTTTAAATATATTTCAAGTTTCAATTATAGGCTTTCAACAAACATGTTATAATCATCTGCTTACGAACCTTTTCGGGCTTTATGGATACGATGATTTCATAATGGATTTCAGTTTAACTAATCATCTTCAAAATAAATATTTTACTCGTAGTGAATGTAATATAGCTATCATTGTCTCCCTAATGAATGCATCATTAATCATTATCAATTATATTCTACTAATAATGGTCGGCTAAATCAATTCGAGGAAATTAATTTTCTGTCACTTTACAGACGAATAAAGGACACCATGTCTTTCAAACACCATTCATCTCTTTTCCCATCATTGGTCATGGCCTTTCTCTTGCCCATGATGCTTCAAGCCTTCCAAGGCGGCTCGATGGAGATTGTATCCTCAGGATTGCATACAGGAAGCGTTCGTCAGGGATGTTACCAAAACGTAGACCAAAGAAAAGCTTACTGCAGTAACAGAGGTCTTGATTCGGTTCCTCAAAATCTTGCACAAGACACTAAAGAACTTTTCTTGTCTGACAACAACATCACTGTCCTCCCGAAGTTCTCGTTCGAGAGATACCCCCTGATCACCCACTTGGATCTTTCAGCAAACGACATCAGAGTAATAGAACCCACCGCTTTTTACCCTCTCAAGAAGTTGGGGAAATTGTGTATAATGGTCAATCCCAGTCTTGTGCTCCCAGCTACAGGCTTATTCAGATGGGCAAGTAAGCTGACCTTCCTGGACCTGACAGCATCGAACTTGAAATCCCTTCCCAACAACACCCTAAAATGGAACCAACACATAGAATACCTGGGATTAGGTTACAACCACCTCACTTTCATTAATATCAGTACTTGTGGCTCAGTAGGATATGCTGGCTTTTCTGATAATTACATTGAACAGCTCACGAAGGAAACTTTCACCTTTTTGTGTCAAACTGATAATCTGGACCTTGGTGGAAACCCCATCAAGTTGATTGATCCCATTGCTATTGCTGCACTACATACCCACTCATTGATTATCGGACATGCCGGAGGCCACTCTCGGACACCCGAAATCCTGAGAAACCTAACGATCGGAATCTCTCGTTCGCAGATCAAGAGGCTTGAAGTCGATGATGTTAATTTAAGTCTTTTCCCTCAAGAATTTTCGAATTTGACGCTGCTCGATCAACTTGTTCTCAGTCGTAACAAAATAGCTACAATCGAACCCAACTTTTTTGACGGCATGCAGGCGCTGAAAGTGTTGAACATAAATTTTAATCAGGTAAGGAGTATAAATACTGGTAATCATACTTGGACAATCAACCTCATTGAGTTGTATTTATCCCTGAATTCCTTGACAGAAATTACGAAATTTGCATTCCTTGGTTTGCAAAATTTAACCCTTTTAGACTTAAGCTTTAACAGTCGACTTGCTAGTATTTATTTGACATCCTTTACAGGACTAGATAACATCCACACCGTTGATTTGTCAGGATGCAGTATCTTGTATTTGCAGTTGTACACTCCGATTTTAAAGTCGCTTCTTATGGAAGGAAACACCATTTTTTTATATGAAAATCCTTTAAACCCTGGGAAATCCTTCAAAAACTCGATGAATCTTGTTCATTTGGACATACAAGACACAAAAGTATCGTCCCATAATCTTTGGGATCCAGCCACAAATGTTTCTCTTTTCGAAGGACTGTTCAATCTTACGACATTGGATATGAGTAAGAATCCAGGCATTGCCAAATTAGGCCTGCTACCTGGGACCTTCCATCATCTCTTAGCTCTACAGGAGCTCAGTTTAGATGCCTGTGCTATTTCAAACCTTCACCCTCTTGTGTTTACAGGTTTAGAATCACTTCAGCAGCTGAACCTTTCAGGTAATAATCTTAACCAGATTCATACTGGTTTACTCACAGGGTTAGGGCTTACAAGCCTTTCGTTGGCAAACAACAAGCTAACGGGTCTAAACGAGAGCACATTTAGACCAATCCATTCTTCTCTTTCACTGGTAGATCTTTCCCAAAACCCACTTATTTGTACATGTGATCTCGAGTGGCTTCTAGATTGGCTGAATGGAACAGTAAGCCTCGCCAATGAGGAACAGACTCTGTGTGCACCATTATCATTGGCTCCTCTACGTGATAAACCTTTACTTCATTTTAATCCCACTGAACTCTGTCCGTTCAACTATGCCATTTTCAGTTTAATTCCGATTGTCCCCGTCTCCTTGGTTGTCATCCTCCTGCTCGTCTATCGCAAGCGATGGAAGCTGAGGTACAAACTCTTCCTCCTAAAACTGGCGGTTATTGGGTATAGAGAGAGGCTAGACGCGCGCAACCATAACGACTATGAGTTCGACGTAAATATCATCTTCTATGACGACGACGAAGAATGGATTCGCGAAAATCTGAGACCATCTCTGGAAGACCATCTACCGCAGTTTCAAAGGAACATCTTTGGTGACGCAGACCTCATACCGGGTATGTACTACTTGGATGCCGTTGACTACGTGGTGAGCCGGAGTTACAAGACCATCATTTTACTCAGCAGAGCCGCCGTACGTGATCGCTGGTTCATGCTCAAGTTCCGTACGGCCATGGACCACGTGAGTGATACCCAGACCGAATTTGTAGTCGTTGTCTTCCTCGAAGACATCCCAGATGATGAGATGCCTTTCTTGGCGAGGTTGTTCCTCAGTGACGGCAGACCTTACCTCCACTGGACAGAGGATGTGGGAGGTCAAGAATATTTCTGGAAGGAACTGGCAAAGAATCTGACCATCAACCTAAGGACCAATGATCTGATCCCAAATGAATAGAACCAGTATGGCAACACTTGTCGAAATAAATACAATGTAAAAAAAAAAGAGAATAAGGGTCCTAGGGGGGATATTTTTTTCAACTTTTACAAATATTTCAAAATGGAGGACAGCAATAGGAGTGCTAATGCTACTCAACCATTATTCCTTTATTTTCTTTTGCAATATATATATATATACACTGTATACAATGTATATGAGGCCGCCATCCATCACCAGCCTAACCGCTCACGATGGTGGTCTCCTGCGTTCTAAATTACCTCTCTAATTTATTTTGAAATATTTACTTTATATTTCTTATCTTGTTTGTATGCTTCGTACATGTTTATTGTATGACATAATTGTACATGATTTTCTATTTAATTACTTTTGTAAACATTTTAGTCATTGTATTTGTTATTGTTCGAATAATTGTACCTTGAATTCGAATTTGTATCTTTTTGAACGCAGAAATAAAATCAATCAAACAAACAAACACTGTATATTCCAAATCAACTTTTTTTCTTCAATTTTGTTTAGGGAAAGTCTATCCTTTTAACCCACTAATAACAAAAGTTTCTACTCTTAAATGTATAACACAAAAACAAATTGAGTAAAAAAAAACGGCGTTTTTTCTTCGTCCTTGCCCTCAGAAAGGGTTGTTTTCTTTGGGGTTTGGGAAGAAGTTCACACTATCAAGAAACAAATAATTCAGAATCGGCTCCCTTTAATCAAAATTGCATTAGTACTTTGTTCCTTTATTTTAATTTTCATACAATAGATGCTCAATGCTCAATGATATTCTTCTTTGTTTTCTTTCAAGAAGCCATCATAATAACAAAGGTGCCTATCATAATCTGTGCAGTAATTTAGAACTAGATCGAATCTATTCTTCAAAACTCTATGTGCCCCGGCCTGGTCAATACCATAGCTGAGGCTGGACTAATAATTTCAAGCTTAAAAAGCATCATACACAAGTGAATAGTAGCATTATCATAAGAAGCAGTAGCAGTAGTAGAAGAATCATCATTATTATCAATTTCACAATTAACAGATATAAAATATAGACATCAACTATTGTCTTTAGATTATCATATTTTGTCTTTACATTGCCATGTATACTAATGAATCACAGGCCATATTACGTCCCTATTTTCACGAAGTGACGGTAGTGAGGAAAATCGTAACGCAAAGTGAAAGCAATTTTTGTTCACTACCGTCACTTCGTGAAGACAGCGTAGCCTATACAAAAGATTGTGATAACACAAAATGTTATTTGTTGATTGATTACTTTTTGTAATACTGTAATACTTTTTGTCAATGCTGATTACATTTTGTGTAAGAACTATATCATTGTCGATTATAATTTTTATCTATCTATTTTTGTCAAAGCAAGATGCCATTTTTGTATGCACTCTCTCATTGTAAAATCACCAACGCTTATTAAAATTTGCATTTACTAAGTATTTAGCAGATGGCAAAATTCAATCAGTTTACTTTAATTACTTGATTTACGTAAAACACACACAAAAAAAATCATCAACTTCACAAGGGGTATAATAATTTAGTTGTTGACTATAAATCATGACTGTTTAAGAGTTTCGAATGGATATAATTTCAAACTGAATTACCGTTGGTAAAATGTTGTACCAACAGATTAGACTTGGTATGAATTGTAAACCAGACATTTCATCTAAAACAAATATATAAATATATAAATTCATGTGCTTGGTATAGTAAAAGATTTCACTTTGTAGTATACATTTTAGTCAGTCTAGATGTCTTTCTCTTTCTTTCTCTGACATGATTACATGCCTTATCGGTCTAATTTTTTTAACCTTCATTCCCGATTTTTCGATGTTTTAAAGATGATGGTTTACGTTTTAAAATATAGTGTAAAGCCAAGTATGGTAGAATTTTGTGGTGTAATAAAATGAAGAAGAACAGGTCAGTGAAATATTGAGCAATTCCGATTAAAATTAAGAAAATTATGAAGTTTTCAAGTTGCGATAAATCAAACACAAATTGGCAACTCTTTGACGTATCTTGCGAGGTCCCTTCCATTTGCTTCTGTACTAGACACACAATTCAGAAATTTTATTTTCCCTCGAGAAAATTTCCAATCATACATGCACCCTAAATACATGTATATTCATTGCAAATATGTTTGTATACAACCCCTGAATGGACAAATTCTATCCTGTCATCAATAGCGAAGGAAATGAAAGTTTATGAAATTTTAATGTAGGCCTACAGAGTAAATTGGAGAGGACCTCCCAAGATACGTTAGTGTGGCTCTTTTGTGATTGATTGATCGCACGTACCTTCAAAAATGCTTAACCTTCATATTTTTAATCGGAATTGGCTCAAACTTTCACTGACCCGTTCCTCTCATTTCAACTAGGCTCTTCCCTTTTAGCAAGTCGTTCTAATGTTTGATGGTGACAATATTGATATGCTCTAGAAATGAAATAACTAAATAAATATTATACAATTAAGAAAATGCTGCTTAGTCACAGAAGAGTCAAGTCAAGCATTACATTTTCCTGGAACCCCCTCCCCCCCCCCACAACACAAAACAGGATGATCATAGTAAGCTCAGGTTTTGTCCTCTTTTTTCCCCCGATAGTCCCTCCTGAAGCCAACATCTGTATACGTGTGAAGATATATGGGTGTGCCTCTGTGGTGAATGTGATTGTAGTGGGTGTGTGCGTGTGCGTGCGTGTGTGTGTATGTGTGTGTGTGTGTGTGAGAGAGAGAGAGAGAGAGAGAGAGAGAAGACATGTGTAGGTATATTTTCATATCCCTCTCTCTCGATGTCCAGTTATCAATTATTTTAAAAGTGCTATGCCAATATGAAGCAGACTAGAGTAGGTCCATGACAAACATACATTTTGACATGGAAGGTCCAATGAGAATATTGTCTAATTTTCATACCATTCAATAAAGTTGTATAGATTTTCGATACTCGGATTGGTTGGGGCCAACACATGCCCAAGTTATATCAGGTATTATTATTTTCATAGCAATAAATATACTAGAGGTATATAGGCTATAGGCTTATTATTTTGTTGGCTCCAGTTTGCGATTGTATATTTTAATTTCACGCAGTAATTGTAATCTTGAACATCTTGCACATAAATAGATTCGATACCGATGGCGGGTCCAGGGCTCTTTAAAAGCCAGAGTTAATGATCTTTGATAGGGATCTACGTATTATATACCGCTAGTGTATTTATGGCTATGAAAATAATCATACATGATAAAACTTTGGCATGTGTTCGCCGCAGTCAATCCGAGTACGGAAATCTATATACAACTTTATTGAATGGTATGAAAATGCTAAAATTAGACAAAGTCTTCAAATGTATGTTTGTCATGGCCGGACCTATAGTGGCATAGCACTTTTAATTAATTGATAACTGGACATTGAGAGAGAGAGAGAGATAGGCCTATATGAAAATACACCTACACATCTCTCTCTCTCTCTCTCTCCATCCACATTGGTCCTGTACTCTCTGTTTAAGTCATGATGCTCACAAACCAGCATAATTAGAGTGGACAGGGACTGTCTGTAAAAAATGTATTTATGATTATTATCATCGCTCCATATTCCATAAACATATTAATCAAATTCTCCGATAGGTACTTCGGTTCTCGATATTAGGGTTAATCGCAAAACCCGGGTAACATGCTTAGAAACGTGTGTGTGTGTGTGTGTGCGCGCGCGTGTGGGTGTGTGTGTGTGTGTGTGTGTGTGTGTATGTGTGTGGAGATTTTAAGCAAGGGGATTTTAAGCAAGATTAAAAGACTTCTCGGATGGTGGAAACAGAGGGACGGTGTTTGAAATAAAATCATTTATTAAAAACATATGCATTAGGTCTATGTAAATTAAATTACGTTTTTGCTTCACTAGTGGTTCCAAAGTGGGTCATATCGGAAATACAGAAAATATGTTTTGAAGTTATATGAAATGGGAAAGATCGAATCCCTAAGTTTCTATTTAGAAATGATCAAAGCATGGGAAGAGTTAGAAGGTTGTAGGAATTTTGAAGAAAAGAATAATCCAATTATTTTTAACAATAAAGATTTCTTATTGAAAAAGAAAATGATTTTTGATGAGGAGTTGTTTACACGCAATATTATTTCAATTCAAGATATTTTTGCTGAAATGGCATGCGGGCAATATCTCATTTTCAACATTTGGGGTTAAAAGTAAACAAAATTGTTGATGTATGGAGTATTGGGGAAGCTATTTTGAGAAGCGGGAAAAGGATAACTGGAGTTTAGTGGATGTAAAAGAGTATGATATTTTAATGCAGTTTAACTGTACCGTGAAGCTCCTCAGAGATGTATTATCGAGGAAGGTTTATGAATATTTTATAGAGAAGTTACGAAATTTATTTGTCTTGAAGATTCATGATGGACGGGAAGTTTCAGATTTTTCAAATGAGGTATGTAGGGAGATATTTACACTTGTTCTGGGAGTGTGTACATGTTCAAAGATTATGGCAAAATTTAATAGCTAAGTTTGAGCTAAGGGAATTAAGGTCTATCGACTGGATAGATATTCATTTAGGGTTGTCCGGTAACTCCCCACGAATAAAGATTTTTAATACAATTATTTTTGTAATGAAATATTGGATATATAAATGCAGGGGAAAGTCTGTAATATTGTCTTTGGGGGAGTTTATAAAAGAACTGTTGGAATTTAGGGAAGAAGAAAAGAATATTGTAGGGAGGGCAGGTGAATTGGCCTTACATTTACAGAAGTGGGAACAAGTGAAGCTTTCATGAACTTTTAAGCCTCGTTTAATTTTTTTTTTTTTTAATATATTGTTTCTGTTTGTCTGTCGCTCCAATTTGGGGTATTCTGAGGAGGCTAGGAAAAGCGTGTGGTTGAAGTGTGGTCGGGTTGTGTGTGGTCGCATGGTGGGAAGGGGGGAGGTAGTAGTGTGTTTGGTTGGATGGTTTTTGTTTGTTTTATGTTACAACTGCTTTCATTTTTGTTTTCATCAATTGTACAATCTATGTAATGAAAATGTTTTTGAATTCATGTCAAGGAAAAACAAATGTATTTTATTTCTAAAATTAATTTGTATTGTTTGGAATCAATAAAAAAAAAACCCTATGTAATAACAAAAAGTGTGTGTATCTCTCTCTCTATTTTTTTTCTCTCTCTCTATCTCTCTGTCTCCCCCTCCCCCCCCCCCTCTCTCTCTCTCTCTCTCCTCCTTTACGGGGGGGGGATATAGTTTTAATGGTTCGTTCCCCATTAATTAGGGAATACCATTACCCCTTTCCAACACACTCTCAAATACTCCAGTGGGTTTCCATACCTGTTGATCATGACAAAAGAAATAAAGGTATGAAGAATATATCATTTTTATTGAAAGAAAAGAAATGAAATAATATTCATATGATCACCATTTGTACAATATACTAGATACGAATGTGACAAATATCATCACGCTCGGAAAATGTCAATCAATTCGTTATCATCATTAAACGATGATATCATATTCATAGAAGATCTTTTCCACAATACTATAGCTCGATCTTCGTAGCTAGAATATCAATGTTGAATTGTGCTAATTTGGGTTCATTATTATAGTATCTGAAAATATTATCTAGAAGTATTAGAAGTATAGTGTTAAAAGAAACCTTAGAATATTTGCAGGTTAGGTTATTATGAAACAAAAAACTGTCAAAGTAAATACATACAAAATTCATCTTGACATTTTACCATAGTCGAGAATGTTACATTGAATAATCTTCATTGTTTATAAACATCAATGTAATTTCTCATTGTAGCATTAATTGTGTGAAATACAAGGACTATTTGAAGAAAACTTTAATCATTACAACAAAGTCATACTCTAGAGAAGAGGCAAAGTTATACATTTGTTTCAGATACAGAGGCATAGTGGGTTGAATTTCAATGGAATTCAAAAGGTCCTTTTTTCTTGATGAACGCAGTTGAACAGCTTCTGGAAAAATCTTGTCAGCTTCACTGTAAAAGAAAATAATTATTAAAAACATTATGCAATAAAGTATAAGCGAACAGGCTCTTAAGTAGAATAACAACATGACAATGTTCGTTTATGATGGAGCTTTTGAATGATTTTTATTTGAGAAAGTCACCATTCATAGCTTATTTGTAATGTTTAAAGGCCCACTGCACTACTTGTAGCTACTTGCGCCCTCTATATAACAAACAATGCCTAATCGGTGACCATTGGTCTCCCATGATCCTCTTTTTCTTATGTTAACTGAGAGCTGAGTTGATGAGATAACCACCTGTCAAGTGACCTTGCAGGGCAGTATAATCCCTCCTGTAAATTAGTACAGATAAGCTTTAATTGCTGTCGAATTATTAATGATGACTCTTTATAAAGCGTAAAAGCAACATGCAGATGAACGCATGTCGATTTGTCTTCTTAATAAGATTTTTTTTTTTAACTGAAAGGTTGCGCTAATGACATATTTTAAAGATCGCTAATTCTTAAATTTTCTCCCAAATTAATGTAAAAGGATTTGTTTTTCATAAAGGGCTTCTTTTCATTTCATCTACTTTGTTAGCATCTGACGCAAGTGTCCCCTCAATGATTGGACCTGGGGGGTGTTTCACAAAGATCCTAAGTTGAATGGAGGGCCATTAGCATCTATGAAAATATTTTGTGAAAGTTATTTTAAATGGCATATAATGTTGATTCAAATCATTTATATTGTATATTATCATGGGAAATTTCATGTTCTTGATGTGGAATTTATAAAAAGTCTAAACACTAGAACTTTTGCATTTGAAAATATTTTATTTTAAGGCTACAAATGGCTCTTCATAATTTGTAAGTCCAACTTAGAGGTAAGTTCGACTTAGGATCTTTGTGAAACACCCCCCCCCCCCCTAGGTTACGTCACAATGACCGACCGGTCCGACCCCTATCCATTCTAACAAAGAAGAACAGGGTTCTCACCTGAAGTAGACTTGACCCACTCTTGTTTGAGTTTGTACCTTGGGTGATAGAAGGCAAAGTAGACGGGAAGACCCGTCAGGACGGCAGTCATGCCGATTGCTTTATTCAAGGGGTCCAAGTAGAATGCAAGAACTGCTACGAAGATTTGGCAACACATGTAGAAAAAAGCCAATACTAGGGGTACCTAAAATGGAAAGAAAAGGAAACTGAAGTCATTCAAAATAATGTATAATTTTTCTTTATCGCCACCTTCATCAAGGAAAACTACTAAATGAAAAACGTTACATTTTGGGAAAAAGCATTTCCGATAGTAATTTCCAAAATATTATATTATACTCTGATTTTTTTTTTTTTTTTTATTTATTTTATTTATTTATTTTTTTTTTTTTTTTGGGGGGGGGGGGGGGGTCTTTTGTTTAAGTAGAGTATAAGGAGAGGGCACCCGTCGCGCCCACATCAATGTATGCTTGGTGGGCTTATGGGAGTCGACCTAAAATGGAAGGGGCGCACACGAATGCTAATAATTATGTATCTTATATAGAGGGAAAGAAAATATTGGAGTAGTTTCCCTATTTCATCACGGGGTCCGTCCTTGGTGCAACAAAACAGAAAAAATTCCTTTTCCGTCAGGATCGTGACTTCTTGTTTTGCTCACCTTGACCGTTCTCTCCCGATCCGGGTACTTCCATCGGTAATAGGGCACTATGGCAATCGTCATCGTGTCAAAGATGTTTTCAACGAAGCCCACGTACGCGATGATAGTGAAGATATCGTCTTCGACCAGGTAGATGAGCCCGATGAGGGTGACGAAGGTCGCAGGGATAGGGGTGTAGTAGTTGACGTTGAGCATGGCTGCGATCTCCGGTAGCACGCCCTCTCGAGCCAAGGCGAACAGTTGCCTGATTATGGAGGGCAAAGACAGTTTTGATAAGATGAGATCAGTGAGTTATGAATATGTTTCATATCTAGGGCAACAAAAATAATTTCAAAGGTTTAACTTTAGTTATGATTCAACAGGTAAGAGTACCGACACTGTGTAGGCCAATTATGTTGAGTGACATCGTATTAAACGGTAGGCCATAGCGATTTGTATAATACTGTGTATAAAATATAACATATTATATATAAAATCCCTTCTCTCTCTCTCTCTCTCTCTCTCTCTCTCTCTCTTCTTTCTCTCTCTCTCTCTCTTTCTCTCTTTCCTCTCTCTCTCTCTCTCTCTCTCTTTCTCTCTCCTTTTCCTCTTTTCTTCTATTTTACCTAATTCTTTTCTCTTGCTTTACTTTTTTTCTTCCGTTGCTCTCCCCCCCCCCCCCGTTTTTATGGGGGGGGGGGGGCGGCCGATGTGGATCCGTCATTGCATTCATTGTAATGTTCTAACATTCGAAAATTTGGTGCACAATTAAGGATTTCGAAATTGTACTTGGTCGATTTTTGAACGTCGTCGTGAGATCCAGCGAGGTTTATAAGATATGATATCCTCAGGGTATATGGCAGTGGAACAGAAAGAGAAAGCGAAAGATTAAAAGATGAGACAGCAGACTATACCTCCCACGTTTGTAGATTACTGAGTTGAGAGCACCCATGGCCGACATAGAAACGAAGAACCAAACAAGCCAAGACCAGCTACCCAACGCTTTAACGCTGTAGTCCTGCCAATGGCAAATGAGAAACAGAAATACTCCATCAATCTGAGTTAAAATGAAGACAGTGAACACTACATGATATTTCTATTAATTATGTACAATAAGACTGTTTGAGATTAGATCACGTATATCTCAGGAAATGTGTGTGTGGGGGAGGGATTCAACCGGGAACATAGGGATGGTATAGGCTATACTTACTGCGGCAATAGCTGAAGAACTAAGCACTTCCTCTGGTGATAGAAGAGTGAAGTAAGCGATGTTGGTCAGCACATAGATGATAATGATGGTTACCATAGAGATGACTAAACTAAGAGGAATGTTTCTGGAAGATAATAAGAGAGGATGTGCCGTAATACAGTGGTTCATTCACTTGACTCTCATTCCAAGGGCCGAGGGTTCGAATCCCAGCCCGGTACTAACGTCATATTTTGGTAAGACACCATTCTACATTTGCCAATATCCACCAAGGTGTAAATGGGTACCTGGCATTGCTGGGCTTCCCATGCTTAGGCGCTCAATAATACAATTTTTTTTTCTACAGGGAATCGAATTACTTTACCTAGGTGGAAAGTAGCAGCTACACAACTTTAACTAATATCATCTTCTTCCTTTTTTATGTGTAATGTGTAATGTATTGTAAGTAAAATTGTATTTAAGTATGTTATGTAGCTCGATCATTGTAAGCGCCTCGAGCACCCTCTGGGTGGATATGTCGCGCTATAAAGATGTCTTTATTATTATTATTATTATTACACATTCATATCTTGCCAAAAGGCAATAGTATCGTGGCAGCTATAAGCAGGCACGTAGCCACGGGGGGGGGGGGGGGGGGGGGGGGGGGGGGGGGCACGTGCCCCCAAAAAATTCGAAGATCGGTTGAACTTTTTTTTTACCCCTTTTGTTTACCTTGATCGATTACATATATGTGATCCCCCCCCCAAACATCAAACTCTGGCTACGTGCCTGTCTATAAGAAAACAATAATGAGGAGGGTTGGGGTAATAATACATGCTTACTGTAATTAGAAGTGTCATTTACATTTATTTATCTTTTTAAAACAAATGTATTAGAAGAAAATGTTCATGATGTTCTAATGATTATCTCACCTTTTAGGTTCTTTTATTTCTTCTGTCAAAGCGGCCACGGTATCCCTGAAAAGATAATTAAATAAACAACAACAACAGCAACAAATTTATTTAATATAGTTCATGTATCTATGTGTATTTATATATTGGATTGTATTGTTTTTATAAAACTTATTAAACATCATTCAGTTCATAAACATATAAATCACAACTCATGGCAATATTTAACAAGCGATAAGGTATATATTATTAGAAAATGTACGTTCAGATAACTGAGAAAAGATATAAACACTCATGAAACATCCTTTTCCCTACTGTAAATGTCAAATATGAAATATGAAAATAAAATTGACTGACTTTTTCGTCGCCTAACCGCTGACAAAACATGACAGCCGTTGACAGTGCATGGCTTTTAATAGTGCCTTTTTTGTATAGTGATCTGACATGTTGGTATAATTATATATCATTATTAAAATTGTTATAAATCTTACCAACCCCCGTAGGCATACGTTCCTGCATAGAAGGCTATGGGTAGGAGCTTTATACTAGGGCTACCAGTAGTGAATGCGTTTGCCAAGTAAGTCGTGTGACCTGTAATAGAAACAAAGAAGGTGGATTATTAGCTCTCGGATGTCCATTATAAGACTAAATATTATTTAGTTTCAGTTGCACCTTATCTGTTGCCTCCCCCACCCCCCCCCCCCAATTATTTTGAAATCACTAATATTCGGTCAGCGATGTGGCGTTTTTGTATATTTTGCAGTGGCGTTTCTAAGGGTGGAACAGGGGGCACATGTATCGGATGGCAGTTGAATGGGGCGTAAAAATGCAAAGATAAATAGAAAGGGCTGAAACGGAAAAAAAGTTCACGGTCCTAAAGGCACGTGTTGCTTCAGGATATTGTGATTTCGCACTCCAATATAAATCATAGGTTATAAATAGCGTATTAAAAGGGTAAAATATTTGTCACTCTTGCTGCTTTGTTTATTATTGCGCCTTAATATATTGCAGTATAAACATGACATTCGGGAAGGTTCGGCATTTGAAGAAATTTTTTATTTTTTATTTTATGTGCCTTGCTAATTTATTTGACTATATTCTTCAAGAGAGTGTGTAAAATTTACGTCCCAGTTGAAGAAGAACTCAATAGAAAGCTACTTATATCCGAAATTGGCAACACCGCTTCTCTGCTGCAGTCATAGGCGTACGAAAAGGAGGGGGGGGGGGGCTTCCAAGAAGATTTTTTTTAGAGATCCAATTATTCGGGCAGTAAGGTATACGGTTATACTTTTTTATATCTTAGCTAGTGACTTTGGATGATGAAATAAAAGGTGAAAGAAATTTTAAAGAAGAGAGACACAGAGAGACAGAGAGAGACAGAGAGAGAGAGACAGACACACAGAGAGAGAGAGAGAGAGAGAGAGAGAGAGAGGGAGAGAGAGAGAGAGAAAGAGAGAGAGAGAGAGTGAAGGAAGAGTCACGACTTACCAGTAGCGATGTTATACATGCCGGTGACAATGATGATTATAAGCCCGATGGTCTTGGTGATCGTAAAGAACCCAGCAAAGCGAGTAGGTCCTTTGACGCTCACACAGTTTATTCCAACAAGGAACACTTTAATAAAAGTAGGAAAAGATCGAAATTGTGTGTAAAAAATGTTTGTAAAACAATTATATAGACATATTTTTCTGACTTGCATGTCATATTCTCTGTGTTCTTTCTTTCTATTCCCCTCCTTATATCCCATATGACTTAGGCTATGTCTCCATTTATATTTTCTGCCTAAAAGCAACTTCTGTAATGTTCTTCTTTACCTCATTTCTCAGTTTACAGTGAACTGTCTGTTGAAAGAACAAAAAATGAGAAATTGGATCCGGCAACCCTCCCTCAATTTCACTGAGTCTAATTTTATATATTCATTTATTATCTATTTATTTATTCACTTATTCATTCCCTTAACATCTATTCATTTATTTAGGTATTGCGTTACTCATCTTGTATTTATTTATTTGATAATTAATTCATTTATTTGCTTGTCAGAGTTTTTCTTTCGATATTTACCCCCCCCCCCCCCCCCCACCCCGATAACGAAACTCTGGTCCCGCCCGGCTCCGCAGCATTATTTTGACGACGTTACTCACATACAACACAGATGCCCAATAATCGTACGGCGAGGATGGGCGGACCCGAGCAGGGGAAGAACGGAGTGAGAAGGTACTCCGGAATGATGATGGCCACGATGGCCGAGCCAGCGGTCAGGAAGAAGACGATGATCCAAAGCTTGAGGAAGGCGACCGCGGGACCGTAGGCATCATGGAGGAAAGTCAGTTCCCCTGCAAGGTATTTTGAGTAAATACGTGAAGAGCATGAATCAACTGGCTCTTGCAGCTAGGGAAGGGAGTGGGGTTGCTATTAGTGGCGTATACCTACAGAGCTATGGCCCCCTCCCGAATAAAACAAAATATGGGTAAATTACATTGGATGAAGTCATCGAAAGGATCATATGCTTGTACCTCTTTAGTAGCCCCTCCCTGATTGATTTTCACCCCCCCCCCCCTTTCACTGGCGTAGGTGAAAGGGGGCAATTCCCTTCCTGACAGATTTCCAAAAGTGAAAAAGAATTAGGGCAACTAGTTATGGCCTAGCAGCAGTTCGTAGGTTAGGTTAGAATAATAGGAATGCACGAAAAATAGCCACAAGCCAATTCCAATGATAATTCATATCGAGCAATGCCCCCCCCCCCCCATTGCAAACAAATTAGGGCATCAAAAATTCGTTTCTTACTAGTTATATGGATCACATTGTAACTTGAGATGTTTTGCCCCTCCTGAGGACAAGGCATGGATACGCCACTGCCCCCCTCTCTCTCTCCCCTTCTCTCTCTCTCTCTCTCTCTCTCTCTCTTATTCTCTTTCTCTCTTCCTCTCTCCCCCTTCTCTCTCTTTCTCTCTCTCTCTCTCTCACACACTTTCTCTCTCTTTCAAGTTCTATCTCTGTTTGTATCTGTAGCGAAAAACTGAAACAAATAATTTTAACAACCAGATGAGATACTAGTAATTATATTTCTCATCAGTCTGTCGAGAGCCAGAAGGGCTTTAACTCGAGAAGGGTTGTTGTTGTAGTGGTGGTGGTGTTGTAGTTGTTATGAAAGACTTGACGCTGCCTGGTTTCTAAATACTTACCTCCAGACTTCTTTATCATGACGGCCAGCTCGGCATAGACGAATCCCCCGCAGGTCTGGATAACACCGCAAGCTACCCAGAAGATGAGGGCTAGCCCTACCGACCCACCGGTACCCCGCAGGATCCCCGCAGGCGAGATGAAGATGCCCGTGCCGATGACACTCCCGACCTAAAGGTCAGGGGTCAAATCAAGGTCAAAGGTTAGATGGGTCATGCATGTTGCACACGAGGCGTTATTTTGCTGACGTAGCACTGCGTCACCGACCGAGGCGATGTTTGACGCCCCATGGTCAGTCTCCATTAATTCTTCAGTTCATCAAACATAAAAATATCATACAAATCATTTTGAAGGTAAAATACAAAGTACATTTAATTAGTTCACACAAAATATGAACAATTAAAGGGACCATCATTAAAAACATATTGAGGCTTGACACGTTGATGGTCCCAATAATTGTCAAGAAATTACATAAATATTTTCAGGGGAAAGATAAAGTAATAATAATAATAATAATAACCTAGACTTATATTCGAAGGTGTTGGGGGTATTGAATTAGAGATGTAAAGTAAAAACAACTGATAACATGTAAATGTAATGTCGATATCGTACAAAAGGTAAATACAAAATGTAAAAACATTGTGTTTAATTGTAAGCATAACCCTATAATGCCTTTACGGGATTTGAGCGCAGATAACAATATGACGTCTTGTGCATGCGTCGTGCGTAAATGATGTTGCGCCAAAGATATGCATCTAGAGGCGCTTGAGTTACACCATAGACCTACGAAGCAAGTCCATGGTTACACACGCTTTGTAAGTCCGGACAGGTTGCTGATCCGGTCATATCAGACCTTTTTCAGACATTTTGAATTTAAAAAGTTTGCATGGATCTTTGAAAACTTAGTCGATAATATAAAAAAATGGCAAGCGTGGCAAAGTGTATTATGTTTTACTTGATGCCTATTTTTCGTGATACCAAACGGCGCGGCAAAACGTGAAATGTTTTCCTTACGTTAATTTATTGAATGATAAAAAAGCTTTGGTTATAATTATGTTGCAGTTTTGTATACGGTTGGAGTTTGTTATCCGTTGATGGGGGGGGGGGGGGTGTTCAAAGAGGAATGTCCTTGTCAAATTGTTAGAGGAAGTTGTCCAAGAGGTAGATTTTTCAAGGTGATTGTCCTTGGAGTAGTTGTCCGGAGTTGTGGTGATAGTCCGTAGGGTAATCATCCTGATACAAGATGATAATTTTATACTAATACTGTAGATATCTTGTTAACAGTCTGAACACAAGAAATATTGGGGCGTGGGTTAATTCAATTGAATTATTTCTTACCGTATGCCACACACAACCCCATAGACCAAGATGTCTTGGGATGGCGACTTTAGAATCGGTCGAATCGCCATCAGTTGAACCGCCAGAAGTTGAGTCGCCATCTTTTGGCTGTGGCGGATCGATAGACCTATAAACAGCGACAAGAAAATATTTCTTTCTGACAATGATTGCGTTATTGAGGAATTAACTTTGACATATTTCTTATTTTACCATTATCATAAGGAAGTTCATCGTTGTTGTTGTGTTGTTTTTCACGAAATAAATTTTAAGCCTTTGTATATAAGCAAGGAATGTTGTTGTTGTTGTTGGAGCAAGTTAAAAAAAAAAGAGTATGTACAATCATGTTGGGTCCACGATACACAAGTTATACCAATGCTTGCCAAATATGTGATATTTCAACGCTTGAATCCAGAAGGGTAAAGCTTTGTCCGGATTTCGCTAGCTAAACGCCCAACATGTAGTACCTGGTTACCTCTTCGGAAAAGCAAACCCATTTCCTTACGCCATGCATCTAGATATCAACAGTTCAAGTGCAAAACCAATCGTTTCCGAAATAGTCCCATACCTTACTTTGTCGATCTTCTCAATAAAGCCAAGCCCAATTAATCAAAATAGATGAATTAATGTACTTTTAAAGATTTGTATTATACTCTTTTCACAGATTCCTGATTTTACTCTCCATAAGATAATTAAAAACCAAAATAACACAATTCTGTTCCCTTTCCCTTCAATAGCCACTTTATATCTGGAGGAAAAGGAATGTTAGAGTGCCAAAGTTGTTGTTTTTTGTGTTTTTTTTAAATAATTTTTTTTATATCATTTTTCTAAGCAATAATACAAATACTTGCAATATCAAACGTCAGCAATGTTATGAAAAGAATACGTTCTTTTCTATTTTTTTTTTATGTACATGCATTTTTACAACTTCCTCTTTTACTTCTTTTCTTCATGTTTCTCCTCTCCGTTTTTCTGCCTTCATGTTATATTCTGTTTTCTTATTTTTGCTACCATAGCAATCTTACCATATTAACTATACATATTTCAATATTGGCGAATCAATTGTAACTGTATTTTATGTTTGAAATATGCAATGAGTCTTTTAATTGTACATATGACTAATTCAGCCATTGCGTTACGACATATGTTTTTAATAAACCTTGAATTGATCGATTGATTGTTGGGTTAATTGTTCAGTTTATAATACAATTAACATTATTACTTTTTTTTTTTTTTTTTTTTCTGTTTTTATTGTTTTTTCTGAAAAATTAACAGAGTAAAAGCAGCAATATAAAATATAATATCATCTTAAAACTACAAAACAGGCATAATTAACATTATTACTTCAACGATTTGATTAACAGGACTGATCCATAAGCAAATTGTAAGTGACCTAGTAAAATATAGTACTAGTAAAATAGGAAACTAGGAACAAGACGGAAATGGAATTGTGAGATTGCATTTTAGAGCCAGGGTATATTTAAGTAACGGTATCGGTAAACTGAGAAATATAATTGCATAGTTATCATTACTAATACATGTTTAATTTAGATTTCGAAGTGAACTGATTACTAATCACGCCTATCTATTCAGTCTTATAAGAAAATAAAACATACTTTGCAAAATATGAAGTAATACTTTTCAATGTAGAGACCGACAAAGCAAATTGGAGGGCGTATAAAGCAACTACCCCCATTATATGTGCGATCAATCTGAATGGGTATAATACTGATTAATTTATAGATATACTATATTGATAAGCCTAACGTAAGATAAAGAACTTTGTAAATCGGATACTCACGTTCGAGAAGAAACAGACATCTGAAGGGTGAATTGTAGTATTAATCGTCGCAATCCCCCTGTTCTTAACCAACTGCACACAACTGTGTTGCTATTCTAACAGAAAAGCTAATGATTTTAGTTGTAATACACATTATTCGCATAAATCCCTTATCATACAAAAACTAGAGCGAAGTGACCGAACGAAACAATTGATTAGTTCCAGTTTGTGATTTTTGACACTTTTAAACGGATGTGGCAACGGAAACAAGCAGTGAAGTACAGTGGAGAGAAAGCCTACAACATATCGCAATGAATAATTTGGGGGGAACGGGGAGGGTATTACAAATTAAAAATTGAATGATTGATATAATAATATGAGGGCAATATTGAGTTATTAAGTTGGTATTGAGTTGAAGTAGAAGGAAAGGTGGAAAATTAGTCATTAAATAAGAATGGGGAACATGCGCACGGCGTATGACAAAATATGTGTAATTCCGTATATTAGGGACCCACTTTGCGACATTTTTAGTGTCCATGTTACTTAAGGAACTCACACGTATTTGTGACTCTGGGTAAAGACTTAAATAGTGGAGTGAGATTGTAAAGTGATTTCCAAGCATAATATTTCATCCTCATACCTAGAATCACTTAACAATCATACTCAACTATTTAAATCTTTACTCAGAGCCACACATACGTGTAGGTTCCTTATGTAACAGGAACACCAATAATGTCCCAAAGTGGGTCACTAATTTTGGAATTATATACCCATGGGCCTATATCAAGAAGAATACGGAAGAACATGCTATGGGAACTCTTAAAGTTAAAAAGGGGTAGCTTTCTCAAAAAGAAAATAATGCTAATTAGTTGGAAACTACGAGGACATGCAGTGACTAAGAGAAGGGGGAAAAAGAGAGAGAGAGAGAAAAAAAAAAGGATGTGGGGGGTTATTTAGTTCATGCATGCCTAGTACTTTAAGGGTCGAGAGATTCTACTAATTTGCATTAAGAAGAAAGGGGCACATTAATTTATTGATACATTCCCTGTATATAATTATGTGGGCATACACCGTTTTATATACTATACCAGTGATTAGGTGTGCAACTGCCCCAATGTAACCCAGGAGCGAAGCCTTGGTCAAGGTAATTGTTCTAAACTTCGTAGGAAGTACTTCAGTGATATGATAAGCTTTAGTGTCAAGCTCAATCGAGAAGTTCAATCATGGTGTCATAAAAGTGCTCTTTAACATGGACAGTTCCATGGGCAGTTCTAGGACATTTTAATCGGGGGGGGGGGGGGGGGGGACAAGTGCGGCGCCAGGGTTTTTCGTCGGGGGCAGGGGGTAAACTACACATTTCGGTGGCTGATCATACATCGATATTTTTAGTCACCCAGTGTAACTTTAAGATCGCCTTTTGGGGCAAATCATGGGAGCCATTTCCCTCCTCCCCACCCCCGAAACGCCGCCATTGACTTTATTATGACACCAATACAAGTAATAGATACAATACCGATGGCGGGTCCAGGGCAGGCACGTAGTCACGGGGGGGGGGGGGGCACGGGGGGACGTGCCCCTCCCCCCCCCCAACAACAAAAAAATAAAAATAAATAAATAAATAAATAAATAAAATAAAATTAATTAATTAATAATTATTTTAAAAAATCCAAGATCGGTTGAACTTTTTTAGACCCCCCCCCTTTTTTTTTACCTCGATCGATTACATGTAAAGTATGTGCCCCACCCCAAACATCAAACTTTGGCTACGTGCCTGTTCCAGGGCTCTTTGAAAGCCAGAGTAACTGACCCCCACCCTGCCCCAGAACTATGAAATACGTTTCTGTGCCCTGTACTGCGGGCGACACAATCATGCACCTGTACTGTACCTACGTTATGTATACTGCATCACAAAGTTCATTGACCCCGTAACCAAATACTGTGACGTAACTCCTGTGGCGAAAATGTCATTTGTTTCGTACTGCGTCCTAAGAAGGACCCGGCAAATCGTTATTAACGCCAGCCTACAAAGACATTTGGATTGTAAGTACAATTTTTTTAATGTTAGGATATTTATATAACAGACTGCAAGCTTTTGTGGAGGAATATTCATTATTAGCTGAGTTTTTAATGTGAACTAAGAGGATACTTATCAGGAAAGTCACAGTACGTTGCCCCACATATTGAATATTATGTAGGGTAGTCTTTAAAGGTATTACAAAGTTTTGGGAAATTTTGAAAAATAAGTTGATAGTGATTCTTTACAATTTGATATATTTGGATGCCCCTGTGGATTTATTAAAAACACTAGAATCTTTAGCCTCTGAAACACTTCTGCTTTCGAAAAAAGTTGAATATAAAGATTTACCGGTGCTCCCGGTAAATTTTGATAAATTTCAAATGAAATGGTCTAGACTCTAGCTCCTAACTAACTTTTAGTTTTAGTTAGGTCTAGATCTAGCCTACGGCCGTACATTGGTAGCTGCGACCATGAAAATCTTAGAATATGTAGTTGTGATATTATAATTTCAGAACGGGAATAGTTATTCGGTCGATTTTAGTCAAGAAACATTGTTTTATAGCTTAATTAATATATTGACCTTGAGAGGGAGCTATACAACATAAAGAGTTAATATTATTTACAATTTCATAATTTTAGAGTCTATTTCGACCGCGACAATGAACAATGAATATTGTAGGATCTCATATGCTTCCAATATGTTCATTTGAACCAAATTCATGATCCCATACCAAAACTTTGTAATACTAATACCTTTAAGTAACCCTGTAAGTTGGGGCTCTGATCGGATCGGAAGATCGGAGCAACACCCTCGCACCTTTGATCGGTATCGGATCGGAAGATCGACAAAAAAAAATCGGCCGATTTTTTTTTTAATTTTTTTTTTTTTTTTTTTTTTTTTTTTTAATGACGAAAATTTTCAAGTTTTTGGCTATCAAATGCTTAATCAAAATTCATGGCTGGGATTATTTTGTCATTTAGAGTTGTTGTAGACCATGTTTGTTGATATTTAGTGCCTTTTCATGACTTTGAAATTAATAATGTTGGTCTAAGAGCAGAGGCAAAACATGCGATTGGATCTTGGATTATAATGTAGGTATGCATTATAATCCAAGATGGCAGCCCGCATGTTTTCCGTGCAGGATCATTTTAATTGATCGGCGATCGGAAATTATTATCCGATCACCCCTGATCGGATCGGTATCGGCGGCCAATCCGATGATCGTTTACAGGGTTACCTTTAAGAAAGTTTAACAAAGCTGAAGGGTAATGTGGAGGTGGAAATGGATCGGTTCTGGTGTGAAACGCGCAAGTTAAAAGTAAAAACCCGTGGTCGAAATGTATATCGACCTTTAAGAGCTCGATTCGCATTAGATTAGGAAAAGATATTTGATCTATTGCATGTACAATGTAGACCCTATAATTTAATATAATTCAAAGGTGAATACTGAATGGGGTTAATATAATTAAGTAATTTATATTTCATTTGTATCTTTAAAACTCCACTATCCAAATTGATCTAGATAGACCCAGCATATTATTGAGTTGTCAGCAAATTTCTGCTGAAGTTATTTCTCTTATCCAAGAATTCATCCAATCTTTAAACAGTAGGCCTATAATTATTTTTAATGTGCTCAAGATATATTTTGTGTTAACCTCGTTTCCTTTGAATAAAAAGATCATCCACAAAGAGACCACCTAAAGTGCACATGGAATGCCTCTCAACTCGTCACAAGGCACCAACACACACAGGCACTCTCGTCATTGGACGATAAGGGCAGCAGGGGTCCTCTCGATCGTTATAACAGCCTGATTGAACGTGGAGCATTGAAAAACGATGATCACCAGAGGGAGGTGGTTACCCGGTTACAACAACTGCATGATACTGTTAGTGGCTACCAGCCAGAAGAGCTTGGGTTCTTTGAGAAGGTACAGTGTAAGCTTATGGACATGTATCTAAATGGATCAGCAGAAGAAAAAAAACATAAATTGGATTGTTGAGCAATTTAACACTCGAAAGCTAATGGCAGCACTTCGCTGTCCACGTTTTTAACAGCACATCATTGTATATGTATATATCTTGCACCTAGATTGATTCCTACACACGTATTGAACATGGCACACACCACTCTGGAGTGCGTAATCTTCGTTGCATGAATTAGCATTTAACGAGGAAGAAGAAGAAGAAGAAGAAGGAGCTCTGGGTTTTTTTAAAAACTGAAATACACAAGAATTGTCATGAGGAAATCTCAAATTAACTTAGAGTACATGTATTATATCTAAAAGTGCTCATGTAAGCAAAACAGGTTTAATAGGGTCAATGAATACATGTAGGTGTTAAATGCTGGATCGTAAGCAAGAACTACAAAATTTTCATTACATTTATTTTGTTAGCCCATAAGTTATCTTTTTATAAGGTAAGAATTTAGAACAGGAACTTAAAGAATGCTTAACATGAATTTGAAGAAACAAATGGAAGAGGTGAAATGAGGGATCTATATATGCCACTGACATGATTGATTTTATCAAATGAACATTGAACCCATTGACTACTGACTAAATCTCATCACCCTATTTAGCTACAGCGACCACCCAGTTTCAGAAGAGAACATGTTGATTTAAATTTATCCCATTTCAATATATAATATTATATAATATATATTTTCCATTGGGTTTACAAACTACTAAACATACCCCACAACATTAAATAGTTTGTTTTAGCAACAGATAAAAACCATATGAAATAGGCCTAATTTAAAACACATATTTATCATTCAGATATATCTCATGTGAACCCAATCACCCTTCAACAATGATTTCTTTCATTAACTTGACCTGTGTTGCTACCCTTACTGTAAGTTATGTATTCTAGAACCTTCCTTGTTATTCATGTTTTGTCTTTCCTTGTTTCCATGAACCCAAAGACCATTACCTCTTCATTCCTCCCAGCTCCTAGCTAAGAGTTATAAACCTGACCTAAAGTCTGTACCTGTATGGCAGTGTAGGAACAGGAAAGACCATGCTGATAGACCTTTTCTATTGATTTCATGTCCTTATGTTGAAAAGAACCTTAAACAGCAATACTGTTTACATCTCATTTCATACAGGTCCTAGGGAAGAGGCCTAGACCAGCGCCCGCAGGTCTGTACCTGTATGGCAGTGTAGGAACGGGGAAGACCATGCTGATGGACTTGTTCTATGAAGACGTGGCTGTAGCTCAGAAGTTGAGGATCCATTTCAATTCATTCATGTTGGATGTTCATAAAAGTAAGTGGCATAAATAATACTAATCAATATAATTACTGAATGGTTTAGTCTTACTTTCCTCAAAATAGCTACATCAGGGTCCTGTTGCATAACAAATTACCATTGATGATAACTTTGACATCAATGGCAACTACCATGGTAACAGGGCTCAATAGCAAATCAAAATCAAGGTTTCCATGGTAGTTACCATAAACAGGGTGCAACAGGGCCCTGTATTAATACTGCTCTTCCTGCAGGCCCTCCCTCCAACTATTAGTATCTCAGCATTGCGAGATACCCATGTACACTACTGTAGGAAGGGACTAGTTAAGCAAAACAACTTGTCCAAGTATGTACAGTAAGTGTCGAACGAGGATCGAAACCCATACCTCTTGAGTGGGAGAAAATAACCTTGGCCTTATCGTCATCGAAGTCCCCTCTCATTCACAGTGTACACACACGTTTGTGTGCTCAGTCTGTGGAGGTGGATTGAAGTCCCCCGTACGCAAGCTAGCTGTGTAGAGAAATGAGAGGGGACTCGGATCACGATAATGCCATAACCTTCACTAAGAGACCACAGTACTCTCATAACTGGTGGTATCACTCCATTTGGCTTTGAGTACACATGGCAATTATACATTTTGCGAATAAGGGATAATTTTACAGAGATATTCACAGATTTGGAAAAAAATTGTTTGCTTTTTGTTTTTCAAATAGCAATACATTATACAGGAAAGGGCCATGTTTTCACAGCGTTTCTCAAAGATGTGAAAATGATGCCCTTTGTATCAAATTAGCTTTGTAGTCAAAATTTGGCCAATAAAGACTACTACTACTACTATTAAGTAACCTGCTCTGCTGTGAATGCGAATGTACTTCTTTTCCACAAAGATAGAGTACTTTTTTTTAAACGTCTGCTCAAGAAGCCCCCAAAATGGTAACTTAGAACCAATTTTCAACTCTGTTCATATGATACACCTTTGAATATACAGTGACACAACAGGGTTAGAATAATTTGTCACGTAATGAATGTAATGAACGTCCTCCGTCTCGACTACCTCATTAAATCTGTTTAAAAATTGAGATAGTGATGGGCCGCTGCTGCGTTTATTACACATGTGAATCATTAAAAAAGTGTAATATCCGGCAGTCTGGTACTTCTTCAGTTTTACGATTCGCTACTAAATCATTTTTATGTTTTAACCATAGATTTGAAATTGTGACTGACAGTATGTTACTGTTTGTTTTATTGCAAGTATACATTCACGTGCTGCTTTAATAACAGATAAAATATAAAGTGATTTCAGACACTTTATTGCTTGTTTACAGTGTTAGCCCTTAAACAAATTATAGGTTTAGCCTTGCAATATCAAATGCATCCATTTTATTGAGTAGATTTATGGAACCCACTAAACTAAATATAACAGTATTCTGCTCACAATAAGACATTTAAAGTAGCAGAATAAGAGAATTCAGAAGTAAAAACGCATCAATCACATGTAACAAACACATGTATTCCATTGTTCATAATAGTAATAATAACAAGAAGGATAATAATAATAACAATACCAGTTTCTTATATATATTATTAACTGACCAAAACGCTCAAAGTACTATTATTATCCCGGTCACTGGTATACATGTACTACATGTGCTATTATGCACATTATAGAACACATTCTCCATTTCCTGTTTAGCATTTTGGTACGCACCTTCTAATCCAATTAACTTGTAGGTGGGGAGGAGCAATGTAGGTACAATGCCTTGCTCAATGACATAAGTCCCATGCCTTAGCTCAAATTCATGACCTTTGGATTTCCAGTCAGAATAGTAGATGAATCCAGTGACTGGGATAACAATACCGTGTTAATGGTAAAGCGTTTAATAACAAACAGCAATCAATCAAGAATGAATATTCTCCTTTTTCTTGTCAGGAATTCATGAGATCAAGAAACAGATGCCTAAGGATAGGGACAGCACCAAACCTCAGGCATTTGATCCCATCTCACCAGTAGCTGAGGAGATCAGCAAAGAGACATGGATGCTGTGCTTTGATGAGTTCCAGGTGAGAGAAGGGGTACCAGTCTCTTTTGGTCAGGGCAGCAACACAGATTGTTATATCGACTGTTTCCACACTGTACATGTGTTCCAGTTGACTGATCGTGAATATTCAACAACAAAAACTGTTATTGAAATACCTTTCTATAACAAACTGTATTTTAAGGAATCGCTATAAAAATTGTTATCCCGGTAACCGCACGCAATAACTACCCCTATAAATTTGTCTTAAATAAACTGAAACAACTGCCTGTGGGGTGATTACACCAGATGGTATTTGTCTGGAATTAGTTGTCGTGAGGGTGGGGCAGGGGGGGGGGGGTTGTTGTAGGGAGTAGTTTTCTGGGGGGTGATAATCGGATTAAATCCTAAGGGGTATCGGTAGTTGACCTAGAAGCAAAGGAATTATTAACCATATTCCTGTTGTTACTTGCATCTAATCATAGAAGTATGCACGCAAGAAATGTTGGCGCACTACTTTTGTTATCCCAGTATGTACATGTATATTTCACATCGGTTTATATCCTTTGACAAAATTTCTGCAAAATTGAAGGACTTTTATTTACGTGACATAGAGCATTTGTTTGTTTTTCTCAACACTTTAAGTTTGAATGATTATTTGAGTATACTTAAAAAAATATGCGGATCTGCATTGGAATACCAGTCCCTTATCTTTCCAAAGTGCAGGAATATAATATTTGAAATCTCCATTTTGTTTTGTTTGTGTTAGGGTTGGTTTGTTTTTGCTAACACAGAATATTTCAGCAATTGAATTGAAGTTTTCTTTCTCTTTCTCTATCTCATTCTTGAAGGTGACAGACATAGCTGACGCAATGATTCTCAAGCGTCTCTTCATACAGCTTTTCAATAATGGTGTGGTTGTTGTGGCAACATCCAACAGGCATCCAGATGACCTCTACAAGAATGGTCTCCAACGAAGCAACTTTGTCCCTTTCATACCAATATTAAAGGTAAGGTATTACTGTCTTTATTTTCTGAAATATGTGTATCTCTTTTAGTCTGATATGTATATGTATGGGGGGGGGGGGGGGGGGGGCTAAACTGATATTCTGGCAAAGTCACCTTATATTTGGGCAAGAAGATATCTTTGTAAGCTTCATGTATATCTTATTTAGTATATTCTGATGACAAAATTATATAATTTCTGTCATAAAGTGTAGCATAGATAGTTGGGATGCAGGCAAGAAACAACAGCCCCCTCCCCCCTCTTTCCTGTGAAATTGTATCTTTAGTCCTATACTAGTGGCACAATACATTAATGCTCTTGCAGTAGTTCTGTCTTTGTGAAAATTTTCTTCCCACCACTGTCCACAACTTTATAAATGCAATGCCTGTCCCACCTGCAAAATAATTTTCTGACTATTCTGTTTGACTATTATACTTTTGAAGTACATAGTGAAAAATACCGTACCAAATTTGATGAGAAGCAACATTGTTTGGGTAGTGCCAGTGGTATTTAATATATTTTGTTTTCTGATTTATATATTTATATTTGTATTCTGAGGCATATTTGAATTTTGTTACAGATATAATTGGTATCATTCGAACAAGTCTGGAGTAGCTGTATTGGCATAATAGATGGTGGATTCATAATTATGTTTTTTTCTTCTTGTTCTTATAGAATCACTGTGATGTTTTAAATCTAGACTCTGGAATAGACTACAGAAAATTATCTGGTAAGACCTCATCTATATATATATATATGTAAACTCCTTGATAGGAAGCGAGTTGGCTTAGTTGGTAAAGTTGCTGCCTGTTGAACCAAAGATTGTAGGTGGATGACTGAAGCCTGCGTTGTGTGTTAATGTGCCCCTCCCCTGTTTCATAGATGCAGGCTATGTAACAGTGGAAACACTCCGTCCCTTGGATAGGATGGTAAATGGAGGCCCTGTGTAGAGAAGAGTCACCTCCTTTGCACATTCGGTACCCACTGCACTATTGATAAAAGAGTAGGGGGAAATCCCCGTTGTAATGGTCCACCTGCACACCCACAATCAGTTATACCAGGAGGAGAGGGGGGGAGGCACCATTGCATTATGTTTACATAGAGTAGTGAAGCTTATCTCAGAGCATGCATTTGAATACATTTAAAGAATAAAAATGGTTATAGAATTGGAATTTATTGAGGTCTTTATGAAGAAAACTCTCATTAGTGTATTTCTCTCTTTCTCTCCTTCTCTTTTTCCTTCTCTCTCTCTCTCTCTCTCTCTCTTTGTCTCCCCCTCCCCCCTCTATCTATCTCCCTCTCTCTCTCTCCTCTCTCTCTCTCTCTCTCTCCCTCCCTCTCTTCCTCTATCTCTCTCTCCCCCCTTTCCCTCTGTCTCTCCCTCTCTCTCCTTCTCTCTCTCCCCTTCTCTTCATCTCTCTCTATCTCTCTCTCTCTCTCTCTCCCCCTCTCTCTCTCTCTAGGTCTTCCTGTGGATGGTCAAGTATACCTCAACCAATCAGAGTGTGATGCAGCCAATATATGTGAACAATTGTTTGCAAAGATGTGCACTAAACAAGGGAAAGGTAAACTTAATTTGGTTTGAGTTTGTGTCTTTTGTCTTGTCAAAATTATCTAGCTCTCTGTCTGATTTTTCTATCATCATCATCATCAATATCAATTACAAGGTCTGCTACAGACATCAACAATCACAACCTTCCATTTCTGTCTATTATCTGCTATTCTTAATAGCTGGTATTGCTGAATTCACTTTTGGTTGCCCTTTTGTTTAGGCTTTGAAAATATGTAAGACATTGCCTTCCCCTGCTTCTCTTTCCAGCAATTTTCCCTGTTAATGTTTTTTCTGAGAATATCCTTTCTGTATAATTATTTGAGCAACAAATTGAAAATTTTTGCCTCTTTCTTATTATGTTGATGAATGATGGTTTTACTCTTGCTTGTTTTAACACTTCTTCATGCATTATTTTTTTCTGTCCATGATGTATTCAAGATTCAAGATTTATTCAATACTTCCAACCTTAATGATTTAATTGTTACTGAATTTACATATTTAAAAAACATTTCAAAGCTACAAACAAATGGTACAAAAATATATCCAAGTAAAATACAATGACCGAAAAAAGTGTAAAAAAATTGCAAATCTAAAATGACATTAGAAGTTAACCTAGAAATGGGAAACCATGTGAATTTCATTGGAAATGGAAACCAGTTAAAAGTAATTTAAAAAATACAAAATTAGAGAAATATATTCATAATCTTTCTCAAGAACGCGGTCTCTGTAGCCTCTAATCTTCTTTCAAGCTCTTTGTTTGATGTCAAACACTTGCACCCGTAGAGAAGAACTAAATTCACTTACTCTAGATATGTGACTGTCGAGAATAGTGGTAAAGTGGTTTAAGGCGCTTGACTGGAGATGCGAAGGTCAAGGGTTCGAATCCCGACATGGCACTAATATCCTTTGGCAAGATATTTACCTACACTTGCTACTCTCCTCCCAGGTGTTAAATGGGTACCCGGTAGGATGCGAAAGTTCATATGGTTGGACGAGCAAGTGTGCACTTGTAAAATGGCGACTGGCTGGAATGCTCCCTAGGGAGCGGAAAATGTGCTTACATTGTGTACGGGTAAGCCTGAATCCGATGACCGGAGTAATAATATACCTGTAAAGTGCTCAGGCACATCGTTGGATCGATGTATTGAGCGCTATATAAACACGGAATATCATTATTATTATTATTATTTAAGGTACAGATTTTGGTTTCATGATAATGTTCTTATTTTTCATCAACATGCTAATATGTTTGCCTCTATCCTTGACAGAAGTGACAGAGAGGACATTGAGAATACTTGGCCGAGATGTGAGGATACCAAGGGCATGTGGAAGGATAGCTAGCTTTACTTTTGATGATCTTTGTTTGAAGGTTAGTGATGATGGTGAATCTTAAGGATTGTTGAGATATGGTGCAGTAAATAGCCTTAAAGTCGATACTCTAAGACAATCCCAAATATTGAGATAATTACATCAATAGAAAGCTTTTAACCCCCAGAATAACACTAAATGGTGTCCAACTGACAAAAACAAGTTTAGAATGGTGAATTTATGCGAGTAAACTCTACCAAACTATCTAGTCTGAAACCCGGAAGTGCGTGTAGAGTCGGGCCTCTATCCGTGACGTCACGAACGGGACTCATGGGCTCAGTGAGAGTGAATGGCAGAGATATCCCTAGGTAAATGCTATCTTGTCAGAGCTTAGATTTGTTGTTGTTAAGGAGTATATTTGATGGATTTTCCGTTTACATTTGAATGAAGAATAACGAAGCAACATTTTCCAGTCGCTGATTTCTTTTTATATCCTCATATTCACCTATTTGGTAGAGATTTAAAACGAGTTTACTGCTTTAATAGGAAACAAGGTTAAATCGTGCACGTATGAATAGGCGGATGCATTATCTTGTCATCAGATAAGATACAGGAGCAGTTTTGTAAAACGAATAGGTCTAGAACTATGATAGCACTTATCATAGATGTGTCTGACTGCCTCAAAAAAGGATAGGCCTACAGTACCAGTTAAACATTTTATGTTGTAAAATATCAAACTTGAACGAGATCATGCAAGCGCGCTTCCTCTATAATATTTTGGCTAGTGATGCGGCTCTTGCATGCATGAACGTTCGTGAAGCGAGCAGAATCGGGAGGTAAGGCCAAGCTGCTGCTCGAGGCGCTGCTTGCTTGTGATGGAACGTACTTGCGCTAGTTATATGTTTATCGGCAATTGCAAGAGAATGAAAGCAACGTTGCCAGCTAAGAAAAACAACTAACAAAAACTTGCTCCTGACTACCGGTGTCAAAATTGGTAGATGAAGGATGTTCAGGGCCAAGGAAGGCGAAAGACATGGGAAAAAGGAAGAAGAAACCATCGGGAGATCGCTGTAGTGTATGGTAATGAACTGTGCATGGGTAGACAGCTACTGTTCACTCCGTGCCTGGGCCGATTTCAACACCAAAACAAAAATTACATGGTGAAAATATCGACTAATAGCACATCGTTGGCATGTATATGTCATAATTTTTAAAAGGGGAATTGATATTAATACTATGAAGTACTAGGGGAAGATAAAGGATTGTACATAGAATTATGATTTATTAGACTTTTCAGCCTTTGAAACAAAAATAAGCAGAAAATCGTATCAACCTGCACATGTTTGCTATGGAACATCCGGGTACGTGAATATACTCTTTCCCGGACGTGATGTCATATATAGTAGACCAGCGCCGTGACTGATTTTCTGCGCAAAGAGAGGCGGATATTTTCGACATTTCAATTAAGGATTTCGAGTAGCCAGATTTTTTTGGTGATATGCTATGTAATTGAAAGACTTATAAATAACATATGCTTGCCGTAGGTACCAAATTAAGGGACATTTATTTGCTTAGAATATCAGCTTTAAAAAAATATGCTGCTTTTTTGTTTTAACCTATTAACAAGAATGGCAACTGCATGCAATAAGGGTAATGCAAGGATTCACCAAGCTCTGCATTATAAGATACAGAGAATGTGAAGTGCATTACACATTACATCATCATTAAAAAAACTGCTGTGATTTAGCTGCATCACATCTGAACATGCCTTTATTGAACATTAAAAGCTTTTGTTGTAATGCTTAGCTATGTTTCACTATTACCTTCTTGTTCTCCTCTTCTACTCACAGAAGATTTGATTTGATTTGATTTATTTATTTTTGTTTGATTTTCTTTTTCTTTTGATGATATAATAACGCATTTCGCTTTCTTCAAATTTCTTATCAAGTAGGTTTTAAATCTAAAAAGCATAATGAAATGTGCATTGTTCTATGCATGCGTTTTCTATTACATTATGAGTGAAAAGAGGATGTCTTTCTTCTTTAATGTCAAAGAGAAATTTACAACCTAGTGGTTGTCAAGTTCATAGTATTTTCTTATTCTAAACTGTTGATAATTTTCTTGAATTCATTCTGAAGATATATGTCTAATAAAGATGAATTAGAGAAGACTTTTATCAGTGGACATCTCGCTCATAAATGCTTTATGTCAATCAAATGTAACATAGATTAATCATTAGCCTGAATGTTATTTCTATGAAGGTAATATATACTATCAATCCATGTATGTATTGTATTACAGGCATTGGGAGCTGGAGACTACCTTGCCATTGGTCATAACTTTGATATAGTGTTTGTACACAACATACCTCAGATGTCACTAAGATCAAAGTCAGCAGCCAGACGATTCATCACAATGATTGATAACTTCTATGATTTAAAGGTCAGTTGGATATATGCTTCTTCATTGAAATTTGAGTTTACTCTTATGCCATGTCAGATATTCTCTGCATCTGTCTTTCTCTATTAGGCTAGCCTTCTCTCTCTCTCTCTCTCTCTCTCTCTCTCTCTCTCTCTCTCTCCATCTCCCCCCTCTCTGTCAATCTCAGACACTTAAACATTAAAAACTCCCATTGTGCATTGCGCCATCTGTTGTTATAATTTGTTCACTCTGATACTTATAGTAGTACCATAAGCTTTTATTGAAATTTGCATCCTACATACATACATGTATCAATGCAAAAAAATTTTTTTTGCTAAGAATGCAGCTGTCCCAGATATCTTTTGAAGTATTTACTACACAAGTTTTGGTATGGGGTCGTGAATTTGGTTGAAATAAACATATTCGGAAGCATTTGCGATTTTACAATATTCAATGATCATTGTGGCGGTTAAAATCGAGTCTAAAGTGATGAAATTGTAAATAATAAACTCTTTATGTTGTATAGCTCCCTCTCAAGGCTGATAATACTTTAGCTCAGAAGCAAGGTTTTCCGTAGCGTATAACAAAAACTGTCATTTGTCACTGATGACAAGTTTTGTGAAACGCCCCCCAGGACACCTCCATAAGTATGACACTGTATATGTCTTGATCTCTCTCTGTGTATCGTAGGTTAGACTGATCTGCAGTGCTGAGGTACCAGTGGAAGATCTCTTTGTAACAGGTGCCATGACACAGAAAGATATGGAAGACAACTTCATGCTCATGGACGACCTCAACATACAGAGGGTGAGTTCAGTTCCAAGTTGGACCTTGTGACCAAGACTAAGTGGTTTTAGTGGATTGGAGACTTGGTCCTGGATGCCATAGATCTTCAAATTTTAAGCTTAGACCAGTATTTGTGTTGTGAACGAGTAGAAGGCCAATATCCTATTCATAAACTTACAGTAAGATATGTCTGTGGCTTAGATAGAGAAAATTGTGTTTGTTGATTTCTAAACTCTGTGCAGGATGGACATCTAATGTGACTCATTTAAGGGCATAGTATGGGCATAGTGGCCTCATGTTTTAACCATGACATGAATGATCAACGTTCAACATAAATTTTATATACGCCATCCTAAGAGTGTAACCTTAAAAAGGGAAATTTCGATTTAAAAAGAAAAGGCTCCCAATATTTATGCCACGCCTGTGTTGTAAGAATACGTCAGTTACTGATGAAACACTCTACGTAGAATGCATGTACATTTCCAATGTTTAAGTGGATAAGGGTTTCACTGCATTTGGCTATTGCATGGGCATAATTTTTAAGACTTGCCCAGTAATTATGATGCTGTTGTTAATTAATTGACAGTTCAGTTTTCTTGCTTTTGAATGATTGAATGATCAGAGATATAGAATCTTGATATACAGTAAATGAAAATAGATATAGTTTAGTCCCTTCTAAACTCCTCCTGCCCATCAAAATAGTGAGAGAGCTATTGTAGAGTTATAATAGGGAACAAGATCACCTCATCACAATTTCGGAAAGAAGACAGATGCAGTGGTTTGGGCATATATCTAGATGGAAGAATAACATAGAATAAATCATCAGAAAGAGGGCAGGCAGAGTAAGACATGGATTGATAACACCAAGCAGTGGACAGGAATGCCTTTTGAGAAGCTAACTAAGAACAGCTAAAGATGGAGACTTATTGAGAATTGGAGTCTCAAGATCCAGCACATTGTTGCCTTAATGAACCTATTCTATTAGACGTAGATAGATAGATTAGATGGATGGATGGATGTTTGATGGATGTATGGATAGATAAATGGATGGATAAATAGATAAAAGGTATAGAAATTAGATAGATTGATTGATTTATAGGTAGATAAATAAATCAATTATCTTTACTATCATTCAAAGCCATTTTGTGCCAACAAATATCTTCTCACATTCAGCTCAGTTAAGAATGATACACAAGTTTGAAAAAACCTCTCTCTCTCTATCTCTCTTTAACTCTCTCTCTCTGTCACTCTCTCTCTCTCTCACTCGCTCTTCATCTCCATCTCTCTCTTTCTTTTTCTCCATCTGTCTCTCTCTCTCTCTCTTTCTTTTTCTCCATCTTTCTCTCTCTCTCTCTCTCTCTCCCTCTCTCCCTCTCCCATCCTCTGTCGATGCTACAGGGGTCAGAGCTCTCCCAAGCAAGCATCTTCACCGGAGAGGAGGAGCTCTTTGCCTTCCAGAGGACCATCTCCCGTCTCACCGAGATGCAGACGGAGGATTACTGGAGCATCTCGGAGGAGGAGAAACAGGAGAAGCTCAAGAGGAGAAAGAAAACAAAAGAAGAAGAGAAGAAGGCTTTATGACGATAACAAGGCTATGAGATTTTATCTAGACATTTCTATTTTAATTACTTGATGGATTTATGAGATATTTTTAACCACCATAGCTACTTAAACAGGCTGGACGTTATAGGCTTATGAAAACTATCAGGGCATTTATTCTATGTAAGCCAAAGGTGCTATAACACCCTTCTGATACAAGAACTCAAAATAAACCTTGCTTTTTGCAATACATGCACATACATGATATTTATGATTTAGTAGCCACTTTTAAACTCTGGGGCGGTATTCTAAGATTAATTTTATCTCAGATAAAGTCCCAGTTTTTATCTCAGTAAGATGAAATACTGTTACAGTTTTTCTATTGAACTAAGTATTATAAAAACTGTTTTATTTCAATCTCATCTCACTAAAACATGCCCATTTGTGATGCACTAACCAACAAAAAAATGCTGTTAGATTTCACTCTCTTCATGTTCAACCAATAGAGTCACGGTCTGCAAGTCTCTTGGGCAAGAGTGGAAATTCATAAATTATTACAATTTTCACTATGCGTGCCTGCCTCAAAGTGCAAATACTTTTTTGCTAAATTTTCTTCGAAAATGACTGAGGTAGTTTCAGAGGCTTTTTAAGTATGATAGTAGTCGTCAAAACTCTTGAAATACAATGTTTTAACCCTACGTGAATGTTGCATGAGACATGTAGTCTGCACTCAATTTAAAAAAAATAATTTTGTAACTAGCTGCATATTTTAAAACATATGTTGTACTTCCCATGTGTCCTGGAGATAAAATAGCCCTTACCCTATCCTAACTTTTACGTTATCTTTCATGTAATACAAACGTTTTATCTTTCACATAAAATAAGATGGACATTAGCGTTAAAGTCGTTCATATCATGAGTATAGGCCTAACTGTAATGGGCACGCAAGAAGACATTAAGATAAAATGAAAGATAAAATCTGAGAAAACAGTGGTCTCAGAATACTGATTATTTTATAAAGTTAATATCAAATATTTTAGAGGTCAGAAAAAGTGCCAGAATACCGCCCATTGGTTTTCCTAAGCAGGAACATTATGAAAACTTTTTAAACAAGGAACTGTCCTAATTTTTATCCATTCTGTGATCTGAAATACCCCTATGATGTTTCCAGCCTCAGGAAAATTAGAAAAAAGAAGATTAATAACCCTTTAAACAATTTTTTACAGTAAGCACTAGGTGCCTTAGATTGCAGGAAAAATGGCTTATATATTTTATATATTTTCAGGTGAAATATGCCAGAGATCCTACCCCTTTACTAATGTGGCAAGTGCTTAGAGCATTTCATCCCCTTCCGAACCCCACCCACTCTATGCACTCTATGGTTGGTTCTTCTATTGGATAGAGGATGCAAGCATTTCGCAAGACCGCTCGATTGTAAAAATTGAAGTCCACTCTCTGATGGATAACACTCTATGCGGCTAAATAGCAAAATGGCATCAATTCTCTACGAGAACCCACAGTGCAGTTTCTTTGTCCCTAAAACTTTGACATGTTCAGTATAATAATAGCAATAATAAGAAGAATGATAATAATATTAATGAAAATGATTATAGTCATATTGTTCATATTACATTCTTATTTATCTAGATTAACCTCATCAGTTATTAATACTTTCTTTTATGAAGTCCTGGCAATTATTATCACCCCAGCTTTATTTGTTATGATTGACCCTACCTGAATGTAAAAGTATTTCCACCCTTTGCTACACCAGAGTTTAATTTACCCCCATGTATCCAGGTCTAGACGGTTCGCTTTTATCAATATAAAATGTTTGTGACTATGATGTATGCAAAGGGCATTTTAATAAACCATCTGAAATCGTTTTGATTTTAATGTTTTTAAATGTATAATAATTGGCCTTACTGATGTGATGTTGATAATTAAATTTGGAAGAATATCTGCCATGCTGCCAAGAATTGTTATCAATGAAACGTCACATATATATATCTATGTATTGTTTGGAGCGTGAGAGTATACTATTAATACAATGTAAATTAAAACATGAACTCCTGCTTGTGATGCAAGTATGGTTAAAATTAAAACCTGATTTTAAAGTGATATTCATATTGTATTACACACAGTTGTTGTGTCAGTGAAGTGTACTGTGTACCACACGGCACATGTGAGAGAGAGGGAGGATTGAGGAGTACTAAAAAGGACTCTCAGTAATCTTTCTTGAGGGTTTGTAGTCCTGAAAAGGACTGTTGGTGTAGTCTTGAATAAGACTGTTGATTATCTTTTTTAGCTTATAGTTCTAAGGAGAACTATAGCGCATTACATGAGACCTTTTACAGTGTGAAAGATTAGAACTGAGCTGTTATGAGGGGAAATCCCTATTCTCAGATAAATATTTATAGATGTAGACCGGTAGCGGTAAAATTGTGGTTCAAGGGTTTTGGGTGCAAAATATACATTCAATATTGTTTAAATATTGCCTTCAGAGGTTTAGATAGCAATAGTTCAACCTAAATTTGCTAAAAACCAGAAATATATGCCCAAATGTTCAATGTTGAAGTGCATTCACGATATTTATCCAGGCCGGATCGATATGATAATTTACCAAAAATATCAATAAGCAGGCGGTTTCCCAGCAAAGTTTGTATCATCACGTATTAGTCAAAACATATTCTTTCACATGATTGGTAATAAGAGCTTCGATTTCATGTTTTGAGAGGGGGTGCCTCTTCAAAACTTGTCTATTACCTTTAATTGAAGAAAACTCCCAATTCTGAGACAAGGCTTCTAGAGTACTAGGTCACATCTTAAAATAGATTTGATCTATTAAATGAAAATCAGAAGCTGAGTGGAAACTGCTTGTATTACACAATTTACAGCTTACTGTCTTTAAGTGCATGTCATGCGATGTTCATTTCATCTTTAGTTTGATATTGTTACATGGGCAAGATGTTACTTTCACATTCTGTGTCAACACCTTCCTCACTTCAGTATCTGTGGGAGACACTTTCCCGGCATTTCTTCCTCTGTATACAAGTTCTGCTAATCATTAAATTTAGAGAAATAGGCAATAGGTAATTTTGGGTATGGAGAGGGCAGGGAGCCGGTTAACTCTGAACTCTTGTGCTTTACAGTGCGACCCGGAAAAAGCGGAAGCCGAGAATTATCGATGTTTTATCATAACTTAATCACAATTATAATTAATAAATGACACATATTATTTTGTAAAGCTTAGATCCTCCTCTTTCATTTGATGCAATTCATATGATGCATATTTCACGCATGAGTGATTAAAAGCAATTTGAAGGAAGGAAACCAAAAAGTCATTTGGCGGGCGGTATCTGAATTTCAAAGAAAAATTCACATTTCTAGATAGTTTAGTTTCTGCCCTTTCATATGACACCTCAATCAGGAAAAATGAGCCAGGAATAACACAGTTCCGTTTGTTTAAAGAGATGCTTGCATTTCCATAATTTGATTTTAAAAGTTCGTTTTCACTGGCTGCCTGCCGTAGCAACAAGCAGAATTGACAAAAGACTCTGTTTCATTGACAATCAGCCATGCGTGAAGTCTTTCGTCTATGTCTGATCTTCAACGAAAAGGAGTTAAATCTTTTGTCAATTCGTATACCCTATCCCAGCTAGGCACTAACGTCCTTTTACAAGATGTTGGTCTACATTTGCCACTCTCCACCCTCTTGTTAAATAGGGACATGGTAGGATGCGAAAGTCAATGTAATTTGCTCAGCATTGTAAGTGTCTGTATTTGGCCCCTGGCTGGAATGCTCCCCAAGGAGTGAAGAATGTGCATACATTGTGTGCGGGCAATCCAGAATTCGATGATCGTGTAATGATGTATCTGTAAAACATTTTAATAGAGATGTACAGATGTTCATGGATTAAGCACTATATATATACACAGCATATTATTGTGTTTAGTACTTGGACTTTGGACCGGTGAGACCTGTGTATTCGTGAACGAAGTGGGAAGTGCTGTCTTGGAGGCGAAAGAGGGAGAGAGTGAAAGATGGGGAGACACATACGGGAAAAGAGAAAAATTCAGAAAAGAAGAGAGGTTCAGAGATAAGAGGAGCAGAGAACAAATAATTAATATATTTTTTAATGTAAAACAAGTTAACACGTCCTTATCCCAGCGTAACAATACTGTATTGTGCTGTCAATCTGAAAATCTCTGTAATGTTTTGTAGCTACTATAACAATTATATAATATTGACTGGCCTTGAGGGGTATATCAGAAATATTGACCAAGCTCAGATCATATTGCCCCGAGTCGAAAGACGAGGGCAATATGGTCTTAGCGCGGTCAATATTTCTGATATCCCCCGAAAGTAAAGCCAGTCAATATTTTTATTGTTATCCAAATCAGACATCTAGAGCAAATACAGACATCCACCATGACAATCTCAAGAACTGAACAAACTTTGTCAAACCAACACTGTGCATCCAGTGCTTGACAAAATTTTCGATACACTACAAACAGTGTGTATTTGGTGTGATTATTACGTCACAATAGAGTGCGCGCAAAGTGCGCAGGTTCTCGTACGCATAATATTAATAGATGCGCAATGAAAATGCGAGACCGTGGAAAATACCAAGGTATATTTTCACTCGTCTACACGCAAAGTCAATACGCGCAGGGAGACCAAGGAAAATACAAAGAATATACCCCTCCGTTCCCACTGCTAGTGAAAACTAGGGCAATACGGTTTTGTAAATGACCAGCTCAGATGTCTGATACGGGTAATAATGATTTATATCCCACACGGGGTGTTGCCAGTTATACCAACTAGAAAGAATCTTTTTAATCCCAAAACGTTTTCAAATCAATGCGCTACCACCTTGGTGGTATTCAAAGGCAGTTACATCAAGACACATTTTCTGTTATTCCTTCGAACATTTTCTTTCTTTCACTAATACGGTATGTAATTGGAAATCTATTTAACAATGTCGTGGACTGTGTTCATTCTTATAATGTTTCAAAAGCAATTATGTGCTGGGTTCTTTCATGGGAGACACAAAGGTAATGAATAGGATGGCCTACTCGCATCCAATGGCGTATGTCGGTATTGCATGAAAGAAGGGGATAGGGGTGTCTCCCCCCCCCCCCCCCCCCCCACCCTTGTCTTTCGTCTTTCCACTACCTCTCCTGGTTGTATCCATCTTGTGTTTTTGTGCTGATTTCCAGTAACATTTTCATATTAAGCCTTTGTGTTTTTCTAGTTTCTTTTAAACCTTTTTAACCAGGTCAGTCATGTGTTTGAGTCGTTAATACGGATATGGTAAATAGTTGGGTCTCTTCACCTGACTGCTACACGACCACCCTCCTCCTCATCCTTATCATCATCACAATTAGCATCATCATCGTCATCATTTTCATCATCATTACCATCGGTAACATCATTTTCATCATCAGCATCACTATGATTGTCTTCACTATCTCTATCATCAACCGGGAGGTCGTGGGTTCGAACCCCGGCCGCGTCATACCAAAAGACGTTAAAAGACGGGAGTTGTTGCTACCTTGTTTGGCGTTCAACAATAAGGGATAGAGCAACGTCGATCTGGCGCTGCTCAGCAACTGCCGGGCTCACGATCAATAAATATTGGGCAAA